AGTTAATGACTTTTATCCCCAATTCCCAGCACAAGACTGGCACAAAGTAGGTACCTAATAAGTGCTTATTGACTTGTAGCCCTAGTTTCCAGCAAAGGTCCTAGCACAATAGGTGCTTTATAAATGGATGATGATGGTGGGGATTGTATATAATGACAACCCATAACGAACATGTCAGAGAACAATGAAACAACTCAGGGAAGGGCGAGGGCATGATCCTTCTCAACCAAATCTCATATCCCCACCTCTGGAGTTTTCTTTACTCTCTAATGGGCCCACAAAGCAAGTTTTTTTTTTTGGGGGGGGGTTGTGGGGGAAAGATTGGGAGCCTACCTGTCTTTGTTATCATCAGTCCTCTTCTGGTCCCTGGGATCTGAGTTCTTCCCTACTCTTGGCCCTTGGCCCTGACAAATCAAACCCCTACTGTCTGAATTCTACTGAGACCTAGTAGGAAATATTCCCATGCCCATTTATCACATTCTACAAAGTTAATGTCTTACCTTTTGGTTCAACATTTGAAAAATCTTTGCTCTACCTTGAAGTTCTGATTTTAAAAAGAAAACATGTACTCCCTACCTCCTTGCCACCTTTTAGAGTAGATGCGAATTCTGAGAAATGTTTGGTTTCCTTTGAGGAGCTGAGCAGAGAACTGAAGTCACTGCAATCATAGAGACGTGGGATGTAGATATGAAGGGGGGTGCTCTTCTCCATCACATGAAAGGGAGAGGCAGCGCCCACGGGAGAGGGCTGTCAGAGAAACAGCTCTCAAAGCAGAAAAGCTTTTATTTATTAGATGCTCTCAAAGCAGAAATGCTTTTATTTATTAGAAGAGGCTTCAAATCAAAAGACTGTTCATAAAGCGAATGGAGAATGAAGCTTTGACTTCCCACATCTGAGTCGAGTCCATTGTTCTTAGCCATTGTGACCATCTTACATGTCAGTGCCATCTGTGAGATCATGGAATGGGGATCAGTGTGCCTGTTTTTGCATTTATTAGGTTGTGTGTATGTGCATAACGTGCCCAGATAGGCCATCATTTCTTAGACAAAATAAAAGTGAAATTGTAATGAGAGAGGCAGATTCTCAGAGCACACGCATGATCGGAAATAGAAAGCTAGGCCTTGCCGGAAAGCTGTGAGCCTACAGCGAGTGGTCATTCTTCTCCCTTGGTAATACCTCCCACTTATCCTTAGTGAGACCAAGCCATTAGGTATCCTTCTGTTGCCCTTTGAGCTTAAGGGCTTCTCACCTATGAATTTGAGATTTCCCCAAGAAGCGCAAATCCTTTCTTTATGCTTGGGATCAGGGGATTTAGGAGGTGGATTTTAGACCAGTCTTAGGAGCCAGAGGTATCATAGAAACTGAGTTGTCAAGCACAAATGTCTGGGATTGGGGCGGGTGGGAAGCAGAGTCCTGTGGCCCAGAAACTTGACCTTGACAGTTAAATTGATGAATTTGTTGTCTTATTCCTGGCCCATTAATTCCTGGTAGTCTGATGAAGGATAAAGCTACTTCTGTTGATAATAACACATCTTTGGATTTTGGGACAGTGGAAGTGGCGTCACCTGCCTTTTTGGAAACCGTACCTGCAGACCTGAAGAAAAGTTTATTGGCCGTTAATGCCTGACCAAAGAGGGCTGTTGGGCATGGTCTGTGCATTGATCTGAGGGTAGCAAGAACTAGGAAACAAAGAGATAAGAGAAAAGGGTGCTGGGGTCAAGGGTGGGGCACCTCTTGTGGATTCCCTATTCACCATATCTGGTGTTTTTCCCCTCCCCCCCAAATCAGCTCAAGTGCCACCTGCTCTATGAGATCCCTCCTCATCCCTACAGCCCCGCCCCAGCTCAATAATATTACTTTGTGTTGACTTTACATATATTTTGCATTTATTTTATTAGCATCCACCCCTACCTGTAGACATAAGCTTCTTGAGGGCATTTAAGTCTTTGTATCTTTCGTACCCAGCATAGCACCTTTCACAAAGTAGGCATTTAACTGCAGTTTGTTGAAATGGGACAACAGAAATGCAAGGAAAACTCTGAAGAGTCCTGGTGAGACTCCCTTGTGGCCAGGGGTATTTTACTTAGGGTTCACAGACCCCCAAGTGTATGGATAGATTTCAGGGGGTCTGTGAACTTGGATGGGAAATACAGACCTCATTATTTTCGCTGGGCTCTAACTGAAATTTAGTATTTCCTTCAATTATTTGAAAACATCATTATGAGGGGTCCACAGGGCTCATTGGACTGCCAGAGGGGTCCCTGATGCAAAAAAGACTAAGAAACCTGAATACCATGCTAATGACAAGGGAGGCGAGGAGAGTAGTGAAGCCTGTGCAGAGATGTAAACTCATAGAACCATAGATCCAAAGTCAGAAAGAACCTCAGAGACCATCTTTTCCAAACCCTTCAATTTACAAATGAGGAAACTGAGGCCATGGACAATGATTTGCCCAAGGTCACACAGTTTTAAAAGGTTGAGTGGGGATTCAAACCCAGGCTCTCTGACTACCAGTTGATTGCTTTTTCCGTTTTAGTACCTGTCCAAGGTCTTAGACCCTGTCAACGACGGAGGGAAGGATGAGACCGGAGATCTGTTAATGTTAAGACTGTCTCGTTGTCTCCTCATTCTATAGAGTGTGACCCCTGCTCTCAGATTAAGTCCAGCTTCTCTTTTTTTGCTTTTCCCATAAAACATCAAACCCTGGGGATTAGATGTATTTTATTTTTTCTTTTTTTTTCAATTAGTTAATTTATTTTTAGTTTTTGACAATCATTTCCAAAAGCTTTTGAGTTTTAAATTTTTTCACCCTCGCTCCCCAAGACAGTGTGCAATCTGATCTAGGCTGTACATATACATTCCTATTAAATATATTTTCACATTAGTCATGTTGTAAAGAAGAATTACAACCAATAGGAGGAACCACAAGAAAGAAGAAACAAAACAGAAGAAAAAAATAGCAAATAATTTGCTTCCATCTGCATTCAGACTCCATAGTCCTTTCTCTGGATGTGGATAGCATTTTCTATCGTGAGACTTTTGGAGATGTCTGAGATCTTTGCATTGCTGAGAAGAGAAAAGTCAATCAAAGTTGGTCATCTCACAACATGGCTGTTACTGTGTACAACGTTCTCCTGGTTCTGCTCACTTCACTCAGGATCAGTCCACACAAGTCTTTCTAGGTTTTCTGACACCTGCTTGTTCATCATTTCTTGTAGCACAGTAGTATTCCATTACATTCATATACCACAACTTGTTCAGCCATTGCCCAATCGATGGGTATTCCCTCAATTTCCAATTCTTTGCCACTGCAAAAAGAGCTGCTGTGAATATTTTTGCACATGTGGGTCCTTTTCCCATTTGTATGATCTCTTTGGGATACAGCCCTGGAAGTGCTATTGCCAGGTATGCACATTTTTATAGTCCTTTGGGCATAGTTCCAAATTGCTCTTCAAAATGGTTAGATCAGTTCACAACTCCACCAACAATGCATTAATGTTCTGATTTTCCTACTTCTTCTCAGCATTTATCATTTTCCTGTTTTGTCATGTTAACCAATCTGATAGTGTGATGTGGTACCTCAGAGTTGTTGTGATTTGTGTTTCTCTAAACAGTAGTGATTTACAGCATTTTTTCATATGAAGATACATTTTCATTAGGAAAGCTTGTCTCAAGCAATTAGGATGAAAGTGATAGGATGAAAGTGATGGGAGTAATAGATGGGAGGTCAGCAAGGTCTGGCAAGAATATCCCCACTTGAGAGAGGTTGGATGCAGAAATGGCCTTAGGGTAAGAAAGAACTGGGTTTGAGTGTTTCCTCTGGGGCTGGGTGACCTTGGACAAGTTTTTAAAATATTCCATCCCAGTTAGCTTTCTAAGACTATAAGATGCAGAAGATGCCAATCTGCCCTGTTAGAGGGAATTTCCTTACCAAGCCTCCAATATCAATGAAATGGTAAGCCTGGACCAACAGACACAGAATGAGAGTAGAGTTAACCCTTCTAGGAGATCTCCTAGCTATAAAGGCATCAGAGGATCCCAGATCTAGTCCAACCCTTTCTTTTTTTTTTTCATGTCTGAGGTTCATATGAGCAAAATGACTTGACTATGGTCTCACAGTTTATCAATATCAGAAGCTGAATTTGAACACATGTCTGCTGACTGCAGATTGAACACTTTTTCCAATGTGCCAAGTCCACAGGCAAGGACATGACTTAGCAGTCATTCATTTCACCCTGAGAACCATCCAGGCCCAAGTATTGATGTCTTTCACCAAACAGATAGGTGGTCCTCTAGTCCTCCATAAGAAGTAAAGGGTCTGGCTTGCCCTCCCTGAGAAGAGGCTGTTGTCCAGTAATGGAGGAGAGGTCATGAAGAGCACGTCCTCCAGAAGTGCCAGTTGGCTGCTTCATTAAACAGGGACCTTTTGAGCAGTGACCCCAAGCAGGCAGAAGGACTTAGGGGGCTGAGGGTTTCTTCCTCGGTCTCTCATAGACCCTCCTGTGGCAGACTGGACACCACCCAGGGCTGGGCCCCAGCATATCGTAGCAACTCATCTTTATGGAAAGCCTTATGATCGCAAAGCACAACATTTGATCCTTATACCACCCTTGTGAGCTTTGTCCCCATTTTCCAGATGAGGTAATAGAGAATAGATAACTCAGGTCTTCCCAACTCCAATTTTAGCACTCTATCCACCAGTATCACAGGCAGAGTTGGAACTCAGGGCTTTCTGACTCCAAGTCTGTCACCTTATCTGAGCTATTTCCTTACCTGGTCTCATCTCAGTATAAGGGAAAGAAGATCGTTGTCTAAGATATGCAGATTAGAGGTGATGTTTTGACTTTTGGACTAGCTAAATCCTTATTAGGACTCACTCTGGAATTTTCAGTGGGGCAGAGTCTGGGTGTGCTGAAATTCCCCCCTGCCTTCCCAGTGTGGCTGGCACAAATCTGAAATCAGAGAGTGACCAGATCTTCTAATGGTTTTGTGTCTTGCAGAGGAGCTGAAGGCACCTTTGGAGGAGTATGTCCATAAACGGTATCCGGGGCTGGTGAAGGTGGTACGGAACCAGAAGAGGGAAGGCCTGATCCGGGCACGGATCGAAGGCTGGAAGGCAGCCACAGGGCAGATCACTGGTTTCTTCGATGCCCACGTGGAGTTTACGGCTGGCTGGTAGGTGCTACCTAGCTCTGTTTGTCTGCCCTAAGCAGTGTCACAGAGATGGATTTCAAAGGAAAACAAGACTAATGGGGCTAATTCTGGGGAAAATAGGAAGATGGGGTAATTTTTGTTTTGGTGACTTCATTTCTTCTCTTGTCCCTCCTCCCTATCCTCACTCCCCTTCTCTTCCAATTTAAGACTGTTGGAATAATCTTCCTTTGGCAGAGGTCTGTACCTATAACTTTTCTCTCAGAAATGGGTGGTGATTCCCTGTTAGCACCCAAGTAAAGTTTAGGCTTCTGTTTCTGGCATTCAAGGCTCTCTTCAGTCTGGTGCCATAGTGTATAGTTACAGCCTTTTCTCCTATTGTTCCTTTCTTGTGCGCTACTCTCCATCCAAAGGGGACCAGCTGCTGTTTAGCCTCTGACCTGCCTGGCAATTCCTGCCCTCCTTTGCTCACTCAATGCTTTGAAGAGCCTATCACCTCTTCTAGGAAGTCTTCCCTGATCTTTCCTGTCAGGCACCATCTTACCTTTCAGACAGTGAAGAATTTTGTCTACACCTCTCAGATGCACTTACTATGCGGTATTGTGTATTATATCCAGCGATGGGCAGGAGCTGGTTGTTAAATGTTAAAATAAGTGCTTAGCTCAGTGCCTAGCACATAATAGGTGCTTAATAAAATGCCTATCGATTGAGTAAATGTTTAGTGAGCATTTAGACCTTAGAAATCGGATAAAAGTACAAATCCGTCCTTAGCTTCCTTTAAGTCCCAACTAAAACCCCACCTTCTATAGGAAGCCTTCCTCAACCCCTCTTCATTCCAGTGCATTCCTTCTGCTAATTATTTCCTATTTATCCTGTACTTAGCTTGCTTTGTATATATTTGTTTGCATATCGTCTCTCCCATTAGATTGTAAGCTCCTTGAGGGAAGGGGCTGTCTTTTGCCTCTTTTTATATCCCCAGCCCACAGTACCTGGTACATAGTAGGTGCTTAATAAATGTTTATTTATTAATTGGTTGTTCAGACTTAAGAAAGTGATGGAGAAAATGCATTATTAAATGCAAATTAAACTTAACATTGTGTCATTGTATGTATGTATGTATGTGTGTGTGTGTGTGTGTGTGTGTATACACACATTATATATATATATATTTTTTTTTTTTTGAGAACTTGTTAATCACTTAGCAGCGTGCCACCGAGCACATCATAATTTCAGCATGTGATGGCATTTCTGACACCATTTAGTCTAACCCATATGAGAGTGAGAATTGGACACAAGATCTTTTCTAATCCTCCTTCCCTGTTATTTTACATCTCCATCGTACATACTCTGTGGTTACTCACCTGCATACGATTAGATGGAGTGCCCCTTGAGGGCAGGCACAGTTTTCTCTTTATCATATCACCAGTACCTAGTATAGCATCAGGTCTATAGGATCATAGCTACATAAATCTATCACTGGGAAGGGACCCCAAGAGCCATCCAGTCTTATCCCCACACAATTGAGGACCAACAAGTTTAATGACTTGCCCGAGGTCACACAGCAGATTTAGGATTTAGAAAGGCCCTCAGAGGCCGTTGAGATTAAAAAAAAGAAACCCATTTTACAAATGACAAAACTGAGGACCTAGAGAGAGAAGTTACTTGCCTGAGATCATCCATATTGCAAGCATCCCGGGCATAATCTGAACCTAGGTCCTCTGACTTCCGAGTCAATGTCTCCCCCACCCCCACCCCCATATGATGCTGTCTTTTGTAGCTATTTACTAAATACTTGTTGAATAATTGAACAACTGAATCCCTTTTACAAGAAGTAATGAACTGGATGGGATCTGGAGATCTCTGTTGAGTGGGGCCTCACAAACATAAAGCCCCACTATAAAGCCCTTTGCTCAACCATAGCTTTCATTTGAGTGTGTGACAAATGAGGTTCCCTACATAGACCTCGTGTTTGTACACGGAAAACCGATTGAGCATGCCACATTTCACAAGTGTTTGTTAAATGCTTATTATGCACTGACCAATGGGCCAGGCCGTGTGATCCCCCTACTGGGCTTGTGAGCTTCATCAAAGCCGGGACCATGTTTTGTCTTGACCCTGTGTCCAGTGGGCACTTAATGGTCATTAAATTAATTAATGAATGAGTAAATGAGAGCAAATGAACAAATATTGTTGCTTCTTTTAAAGAGGCAAAGGAAGAGGTAGGTACTTTGGTGCCAGCAAATTAAAGGAGACAAATTCTAGGCAAAATATATAGCTATAAGTTATTTCCATCTAGTTCTTTCCACAGCCTGAGCGAATGCCATGACGAATTGGGGCCATTATCTCTCTCATGCCTGGGAACCATGTTTTCTTCAAGATTCTGGAAAATGATCCCTTTCTAGAGCCCTCTATGGAAACAGCACATGGGATCATAGGTTACAGCTGCGACAGACTAAACATTTTACCAATGAGGAAACCAAGATCCTTGAAAGTGAAAGTGGCTTGCCCAAGATCACACAAAGACACGATTTAATCCCAGTTCTTCTGACTACAGAGTCAGTGCTCATTCCAACAAGCCACCCATGTTCTCTTTGACTTGTACATTTTTTCACAAAGAGCCCTGATTCTTATTGGAACTTTGGAAGAATAAAAGACATTGATGGTAAGGCAGGCATCTCTCTGCCTTTTGCTTTATGGCATTCAATTCTCTCCAGCATTGTTAATCAATGAAATTAAGTCTTTTTAGAAAATCAATTTAAGTTGATCAATTAGCTGCAATGCAATGTAAGAGAATACATAATACAGTGAAATTCATATTAAAAACATTCCATCACGGGCAGAATTGACCTATTTTCCAGAATACGAATCAAGTACCTGCAGGAAATTAGACCTAATCTATCACTGACAGGAGAGAAACCTTTCAAAAACACTTGGTGTAAGGCAAATCATTCTACAAAATGGGAATGACTTAGCAGCCCAGCTCACTTCTAACGTGGCTGCTGAAGCTTCCAGCTTTCAGAGGGTGGGCACTGGAGGCCCTAACGTAGTACAAGGGACATCCGTGGAGAGGCATACAATGCTGAGGAAAAGTGACTCCTCTGGAGTCAGAAGACATGGGTTCAAATCCAGACTCTAATTCTTACGACCTCTGTGCCCTTCAGCAAGTGAATGATCTCCTTTGTTTGCTGTTCAGTAAAATGATGGGTTGAATTACGAGGCCTCTGGGGCTCCTTCCAGCTCTCAGTCTGTGATCCTCTGATCCTAAATTTCTTATTCTCATCTGTTAAATGAGAACAAAATAAAGATGAAACAGTCAGGGAGGGAGGCCTTTGGGATCCGTTCCAGTTATGAGCCTGTAATCCTGAATCTCTTATTCTCTCTGGGCCTCAGTTTCCTCATCTGTAAATTGAGGGGTTGGGTTAGATGTGTTCTAGATAAATTATCAAATCAACAAACATTCATGCCTCTGACACCCAGAAGGTAGTTCTAATCTTTGCCTTATCCTCAAACATATCATCAATAGAATGTAAGCTCTCTGAGGTCAAGGACTGCTTTTATTCTCATCTGCAGACCCTCAGAGCCTAGCAAAGTGCCTTGCACATAGTGTCTGATTTTTTAGAAAATGCTTGTTGATCAATGGAATGCCAGAATCTGTCCAGTTCATGGGCTGGGGTGTCTCAGGTGAGCTAACCCACCATCTCTGTTCTCCTGTTTCTCAGGGCCGAGCCTGTCCTGTCCAGAATCCAGGAAAACCGGAAGAGGGTGATCCTCCCTTCCATCGACAACATCAAACAAGACAACTTTGAGGTACAGCGGTACGAGAACTCAGCCCATGGCTACAGCTGGGAGCTCTGGTGCATGTACATCAGCCCCCCCAAGGACTGGTGGGATGCCGGGGACCCTTCCCTTCCCATCAGGTCAGTGACAAGAGAGCCTGGGAAGGCCAATAGTAGAGCTGTGAAACGGCCAAATACAGTGGGAGGTTAAAAGAGAAGAGAAAGTGAGCCTGTGGGACCTGCTACATAATCTAATTATTTAAAGACTAGGAAATCTGTCTTGGTTTTTTCATCATGTTGAGTTTGGGATGGGCATTTTGTTCTTTTAAGATATTGATATTAAGATATTGGCTTCTCTGGCACCATGGACAAACAATTCCAAAGTTACAGTGAGACTGGACCCATCTTCATTTTTGACCCCAGAAATGGTGAAATTTGTTTAGGAGTTCTTAAGGTAGGCAGGCTAGCAGCGGATAATTTCCCGCTTCAAATCTCGAACTGGGTAAAGGCTGTTGGGAAGGAGATTTATTTTTCTCTCTTGATTCTTGAATGATGGAAATGCTTGTGTTTTAGTAAAACTCCCAATATATAGGCCTTCCTATAATTTTCTGTAAATATTGTTTGGAAGCCATAGTGAACCCTAGAAATTTTCCATGCTGTCACAAGGAAGAAGAGACAGAATTAATCTGGCTTGCTTTTCATCTAGTTTTAGGAGAGGGAGAAGAACTGCGTGTGGTTGGGTAATAAGGCATCTAAGTGGACCAAGGGCCAGAGCTTGCTTTCTGGAGCTTTGAGGGTCTTTCTTGCCCTTGAGTTTAAAAAAAATCAGCGTCAATAAGCTGGAGAGTGTTGAGAGGAGGATCACCAATACGGCAAAAGGCCTTAAGTTCATGACTTACCATGGTAGTTTGAAAGAATGGGGGCTATTTCAGCTGGACAAGAGAAGGCTCAAGGACAAGGGATATAATAGGTGTCTTCAAGTGTCTAAAAGGTCCACATAAAAGAGGAGTTTGAGTTGCTCTGCTTGGGCACTCCAAGGATAGCCCTAGGAGCAGTGGCTAAAAGTTAGAACAATGAAAGTCTGAGCATGATGGAGGGAAACTTCATAATGATTCGAGCTCTTCCAAGACGGACTGGTCTTTGGGCAGAGGCTAGGTGGGCACTTGGTAAGTATGATGTAGAAGGGATCCTTTTCCAGGTAAGGGTTGGCCTAAGGAGTCTTGGAAATCTCATGCAACTCTGAAAGAATCTGGGAGTCCTTATTTGCAAATAGTACCCTAACAAACATCAGACTTGAATAACTCTGGCCTATCTCTGAGCATGAAAGGACAGTGCCTCTTCTTTCTCTGAAAGGGCCACAAAATACTTAGGAGTGGCAGGATTAAGTGGGAGCCTTGCCAGCTTTAAGCAGAATGCCAAAGAGAAGGCAAGTTGTTTTTGAGTGTCTTCTGCCACCTTGAATAGCCTTTCTCTTTCTCCACATGGGCTCTGTCGCACCCTGGGCAACTAGCCTATGAACCATTTTTTTGGGGGGGGTAATTCTCTCAGCTGTTCTGTTACCTTAACATTAGAAAGATCAGGCACATTATGTGAAGTGATGCAAAGATTTTCAAAATAATTTTTAGTAATTTTAGTATAATTTCTCCTATCTCTGCAAATGCATTTCAAGCATAAGTAATACATGCAGATATGATCATTTTACTTTGAAATAAAAATTTCCCTCCTGCTATCTCTAGCATGTGGAAATGCATTGAGTCTATTAATGCATCTTGGTCCTTTGAGATGGTCTTAAACACAATAGTAATATTAGCAGGCAAAACCTTCATTACTAGGTAAGACATTATTATTATTACAGAGCTTTCTTTTTTCACTTTTTGTTAATGTTTTTTCCATTTAGTAGACTTTTATTGAATGTTGATTGAATGATTGATTATATTGTTTTCCTGGTTGTGTTTACTTCACTTTGCATCAGTTCATAAAAGTCCTCCTGTTTCTCCAAATTCTTTGTATTCATTGTTTCACATAGCACAATGACATCTTGTGACGTTAGCGTGATGGGCACCGTGTCATAGTGGATAGAGCTGACCTCAGAGCAAGGTCAAGTCCCGTCTTCGACATCTCATAGTTGTGGGACCCTGGACAAGTCACTAAATTTCTCAGGTCCCCAGATTATAGGTTGCAGCAAAGGTGGCAATTTGTATCAGTAAAAAGAGTTTCTTCACGTGGTTCTCTATACCAATGAAATCACAGGTCTTTTCTCTATCTCTTTTGCTACATTCATCTACTGCGATATGCGTTCCTCAAATCAATGAACATCACTTTGTTGCTGGTTCTTGGTTTCTTCAGAGCACTGTGATGCTCGCTGTAAATGTTTGGTCTGTATTGGCCCTTTCTGTCTAACATGGCCCTCCTTGGGGTTTGTGTCTAGTAGAGAGATCTCTGGACAGAAGGTATGAACATTTTAGTCAGTTTCTGGACATAATACCCACTTGCTTCCAAAGTCATTGCACCAATTCTCAGCTGAGTGGGTGACATTTTTAAAGAACGCAGTTAGAAAATTCCTACTTGCTCATCCTTATCACTATAGTAATGTACAAAAAAAAAGAAAAAGGAAAGGAAAGAAGTAGATGGAAGAGAAGTATAGACCTCTTCAGGACTGGAAAAGGAGACCAGGGAAAGGAAATATTATGGGCTTAGTTTTACAGCTGTGGGAGAGGCTGATTTACGTAACCCTGATGTGGATTGAAATCTTGGGGTGGTGGTGGTGATTAGACAGAGGGAAGTGTCAGTGACCATATGAGAGGGATAGGTCAGACTGAAACATCACTGGAGGCCTGAAAATTATTTGCAATAGCCAGTATTCTCCTGTTTAATTCAGTTGCCTACAGATTGAATAATGAATTATAACATTATCAGATGATTAATACGCTCTTTGGAAAGACTTAAGAAAATAACTTGTCTTTATGTGAGTAATTAGTGTTATTTATTTTTTGTGATACACAAAAATAAATAAAACAAGGGTACCTGCTGTTGCAATCTGTCATTATTACGTCGATATGCCGAGGATTTACTGTTTTGTCGGTATGGGAAGGTCTCCCCTGCAATCAGAGTGAAGCAATCTACATCTTGGCAGATTAGCTTGAGAGTGGCCTGAGGTTCTGAGAGTGAAGCTAATGGCTGGTAAATCTCAGACATTGTCTTCTGAACTCAGAGAGGCAACTTGATACGGTAGAAAGAAGTCAGCCTTTGGAGTCAGAGAGTTCAAATCTTTCCTCTGCTGCTTATTACCTGCGTGACCTAGAACAGGTCACCACCTCTTTGGGCATGTTTCCTTAATGATCAAATGAAGGGATTGGAGGTCCCTGCTAGCTCTGAATCCATGACTTAATGACCCCAAGCCCAGCACTCTATCCATTCCTCCATGCTGGTTGTCATTTAGCTTATGAAATTAACTTAGAAGAGATTGCAGTGTGGAATAATAAAAGGAGGGCGGGGACTTGGAGGCAAGATAGAGTTGGGTCTGAATCTAGCCTTTGCCACTTACCGGATATGTGACCCTGGGCAAGTCATTTATTCTTTGAGCCTCAGTTTCCTTCTCTGTAAAATGAGTATTACAACACCTGGGGTACTTCTCTTACCAAAGTAGAGGCTGAACTGAGCTAGTATGTATAAAGAGCTTTGTAAACCTTAAAGTGCTGCATCAGTGACCGATACCGTTCTTCGTAAGGGTGTCCTGTGATAATAGTTTATGTGCGTATCTCAGCAGAGGGAAGGATTGTGTATATTTTTCCCCCTACAGTTATTGGACGGACGACATGTTTGATTATCTCAGATAAGGTGGCGTGATTTTCCCTTTCAAAGATGTACGGATGTCTCGTTAGTAATGGCAGCACCATTTTATCCTTGGGATGAAGGGGAAACCTTCCTGTAATCACTATAGCATGAGAAAGTATGACCTTCCTCTAGATTTTGACAACTTTCGCCTGATGACGTGGGAAAGGGAGGTTTTTCCAGAGACAGGTGTTTTTTTGGTATGTTCCCTCCACATTTCCTTTGCTGGTTTTTCTTCCTTCTGTTTCTCCCCATCTCCCTTCTCAAAGTTCAGTCAGTCCTTGGGTACTGAGGGCTTAGCATTCACTGCTGGTCCAACAGGTTTGACTCGGTCCTTCCTTGGATGCTTCATTGTGAGGTGAGAGTTAGCTTGACTCCTTGAGGATTAGAAGTCAGGGTCACAGATCTGTCTGTGTGTTCCATGGCAATGTCAAATGGCTCGACATCAGAAACGGAGCTGACTTTATCTGTGGAAATGATATAAAAGGAGGACCACGAGACCTCTCCATCTGACTTGCAGCTGAAACATTTCTTATTTGATTTTCTTCTACTAGAATGTGAGATTCCTTGAGAGCAGAGACTTTTTCATTTGTGTGTCCAGTGCTTAGCACATAGCAAGCACTTAATGAAGTTTTTTCCCCTTCATTTATTCATTCATTATAGGAGCCCAGAATGAAAGCTGGAAGGGGCCTCCGGGGCTGACTAGCCCAACCCTCTTATTTTTGTTATTGTTTTTGGTCATTCATTTCACTTGTTTTCGACTCTCTGTGACCCCATATGGGGTTTTCTTGGCAAAGACACTGGGATATTTGCCATTTTCTTCTCCAGCACAATTTACAGATGAGGAAACCGAGGCAAACAGGGTGAAGTGACTTGCCCAGGGTCACACAGCTCTAATAAGTGTCTGAGGCCAGATTTGAACTCAGGAAGATGAGTTCAGTGGCACTCTGCTGCACCACTTAACTGTCCAAATCCTCTTATTTTACAGATGAGGAAACTGAGCCCTAAAGAGGTTAAAGAGATTTGCCTAAAATCATACAGGTAGTAAGTTGGAGTAGGAGCTGGATCTGAAACCAGCTTCTCCAAAACCAAATCTCTCTCTCTCTCTCTCTCTCTCTCTCTCTCTCTCTCTCTCTCTCTCTCTTTTAGGCTAGGCAGTGGGGTTAAGTGACTTGCCCAGGGTCACACAGCTAGTAAGTGTTATGTGTCTGAGGCCGGATTTGAAATCAGGGCCGGTACTCTACCGTTGTGCCACCTAGCTGCCTCTACCAAAACCAAATCTCAAGGCCTTTCTGTGTCCTGGGCCAAGG